TGCCTTCATACATGGAAAATCTACTATTGTTTTGTCTCCTACCTTTAGTATACACAGAGCAAATCTCTAACCCAGGAACCCTGTTGAAAAGTACAAAGTGAGAATTTTATCACTGAGCAAAGGTGTTTCTCAAAGTATTAGCTGCTTTCAACTTTCACTGTTTACTGCAATGTCCTGCAGCGAAAAACAGTTGCTGCAGTGCTACAATGTGTGTCTGAGGCTATTGTAGTGAATGGCTCATTGACTGTCATATGTATCCCCACATGCCCCCTCCTCCTATTGGTATGGTTGTGTCAGATTCCCAGGCCTTGTTGTCAATTGCTTTGCAGTACACCTCTTTCCCCATACTGCTAAATTAAGAACCGTGCTTTGCCTCTCCGCTGATCTAAAGAAGGGTATATAAGTGCCCAAGTCCTTCTCCCTCTCTTATTGCCTGCAGAATTTCCCACTTGATGATAATAATAATAATAATAATAATAATAATAATAATAATAATAATAATAATTTATTATTTGTACCCCGCCCATCTGGCTGGGTTTCCCCAGCCACTCTGGCGGCTTCCAACAAAGATGAAAAATACACTAAAATGTCACATATTAAAACTTCCCTGAACAGGGCTGCCTTCAGATGTCTTCTGAATGTCAGGTAGTTGTTTATTGCTTTGACATCTGATGGGAGGGCGTTCCACAGTGCGGGCGCCACTACCGAGAAGGCCCTCTGCCTGGTTCCCTGTAACTTGGCCTCTCGCAGTGAGGGAACCGCCAGAAGGCCCTCGGAACTGGACCTCAGTGTCCGGGCAGAACGATGGGGGAGGAAACGCTCCTTCACTTGAACCATGGTGAAGGGCATTTCTCCATAAATCATTTCTCTTTTGCTTTGTGGCAATGACAGGTGGTTTTTTGCCTTCTACATCTGTTATTCAGCTCCGTGGTACAGAGAAAAGGTAGGATGCTTTGGAGACTAAATGGCCAGCAAGTCATTATATAGGTAATAATCAGGAACACTAACGGCAAGATCAAAATAGAACCTTCTGAATAACCTTTTTAAAAAGTGCATATTATGGCTTTAATCTATTCCATCTTTACGAATGACGCACTGTGCTTTTTAGCAATCTATAGTACTATTATTTTCTGTTCACGCATGGAAGGAAGCCATAAAGTACTCCACATGGTGGCTGTTATCAAGTAGCAAGCCATTCATGCAAAGCAGTATACTACACAGCATCTCCTGAAGATCACCTGGGAAATCTCCCAGTAGATCCTGGTCTACCTTCTGCTCACTCTCTACAGGGCTTCAAAGTACCTTTGTAAGCCACCCAGAGTGGCTGGGAAAACCCAGCCAGATGGGCAGCGTATAAAAAATTAAATTATTATTATTATTATTTCCCCACCACCTCACTTTTGTTTGTGACTGGGATACCTTGGACCAATGTCAGTGAGCTGCTCAACCATCATAGAAGGGGTGGGTAATGTGAAGTTAGAAAACCTGATGTGTCCATAGGCAGGCAGAAAGGAGACAAGAAATTAAAGTAAGGGGGAAGGGAGAAGGAGGTTGTGGGCAGAGGCAAGTGATTCAAATGAATGAGTGAATGGATGAACTGGGCAGGGGATTTAGGAGAAAGCAGGCGGCAATGGCAAGTGAAGCTGGGGCAGATAGGAAGGAGGAGAGGTGGAGCAAGGAGGGAGTTAACTTGTGGGATTCATTGCCACAAGATGTGATAGTCACTAGCCTATATAGATTCATGGAGAAGAATGCTGTAAATGGTTACTATTATTACTTGTGATAGCTGTGTCCTGTTACTGGGAATTTGTTGGGGAGCAACAGCAAAGAGTTTATTGTCCTCATACACTACTTGTAGGCTTCCAAAAGGTGTCCAGTTGCCTGCTGTGGATAGCAAAAGATGGACTAGATAAATTTTGGTCTCATCCAGTATGACTCTTCTTAGATTTTTATGACCTGGGAAAGAGTTGCTAAGGAGACTTATGCTGGGATTGGTATAATTGTTTGTGTGCACACATTCACATAATCTAAATGGCAGTGTCAAGCCTCTAGTTTCAATCTGTCATAATTTAAGTACAGTGGAACCTCGGTTTTTTAACATAATGTGTTCCGGAAGACTGTTCGACTTCCGAAATGTTTGAAAATCGAGGAGCAATGGATGGTCGGCAAAATCCATTGAGAAAAAAGAAAAACACGCAATGGAAGCCGCTCGACCTTGCGAGGCCGTGCTCAAAAACAGAAGCAATTACTTTTTAAGTTTTCGGTGTTCGGCTTCTGAGACGCTCGAAAACCGAGGTTCCACTGTATATTATTAATTCAAATGCTATACTGGTCCAAGAACTGGTGTTGGCTGCACATATTCCAATGTTGCCAAGTAACACTTCAAGCCAAATGCCCACCGAGTTCATAGATTCCATTTTATGATACAGCTGTTAAATGTTGCACATTGTTTCTCATTCCGACACAATGACTTGCAAATCTTTTACCAGTAGCATTTAACTGATATCCTGGACCCACCTGTAAATCCTACATCACCACAACGATGGGCACCTGTTGACAAAGACAGGCACAACTAAGGTTTCTTACATCTGTGATTTGAGAAGTCAGGGTCCAAGTATCTACAGGAATAACATCCCTCTCATTTGCTTACCCAGCTGTAGAAGCACCGAGGCTTTTGAAACCATGGCAACTTTGGTCAGCGACACCAACAATGTACCAAAGCAACCCCTGCCATTTGGTCCCTTTGTTGAAATGAACAGTACATGCAACATTGAGTTTGCTTTCATTTTATTGTGACCCTAGATGTATGATTGAATTTAATGGTGATGGCGGTTTTGCATCTAGAGTACTCCCAATAAAACGGCACAATTTAGCCTTTATTTGGTGTTGTGCTGAATGTGCTGCCATTTTCTTTTTGAGAGCAAGACAATACATAGAGAAAACCCTTGTTTTGCTGTTTATATAACAAGTACCCACTCATTGTGCTCATTCTGTGGATGCAAGGGTAACATGATCTATTGCCAAACTTTCAGCTCTGTAATTTGTAATATATGATTCCAGTGGTATTAATGAAACCATCTTCATTGTCATTTTCCAAAGGCCGAATATCAGTAACTGGTAAATCGAGCAGAAATAAGTAGTTTACACCAGCCAGTCTCTGAGAGTACTAAATTTTCAGTTTCCATAGTTTCAGGGGAGTACAATTTGCGAATGCATGACTAGCTGTGGCTTGTACTGAATTAGGATGGATATGATGTATGCTGAGCTCTGTGTCAGAGAAATATTTCTGAGAATCTTGCCATTTATAAAACGGCCATGTATCTTGTGGGTTTCTTGCCTTATTTAAATGATACCTCCTAGAAGATTTTCCACGCTCGGTCTGCTGTAATCTCTAATTTCTTTATGGATGATCCCTCCATGTCCATGATTATGCTGTTTAAGAGAGTACATCACTGGTCCTCTAGTTAACACATTGCTGCCCAATATTGAAAGCTGAGAGTTTGAACTAATAAATAGCTGTTGTCACTCCCCTTCTATGACTTGTGATCTTGTTTTGTCAAAAAAACCCCAAAAAGCTTTGTTTTCAAATGTTGACCAGTTTTTAGCTATTTATTATTTATTTAAGGCATGTGTATATGTGAGGGACGCGGGTGGCGCTGTGGGTTAAAGCCTCAGTGCCTAGGACTTGCCGATCGAAAGGTCGGCGGTTCGAATCCCCGCGGCGGGGTGCGCTCCCATCGTTCAGTCCCAGCGTCTGCCAACCTAGCAGTTCGAAAGCACCTTCGGGTGCAAGTAGATAAATAGGGACCGCTTACCAGCGGGAAGGTAAACGGCGTTCCGTGTGCTGCGCTGGCTTGCCAGATGCAGCTTGTCACGCTGGCCATGTGACCCGGAAGTGTCTGCGGACAGCGCTGGCTCCTGGCCTATAGAGTGAGATGAGCGCACAACCCTAGAGTCTGGCAAGACTGGCCCGTATGGGCAGGGGTACCTTTACCTTTACCTTTACCTATATCGCTTAATGGTTAGTATGTCTAAGCCATGTACCAAAATAAATAAATAAACTGTATAGAGAATAAAACAATAAAAATAATCATGAAACCAGACACAAATCTGAATGCTACCTTAAGATGAAGGGATGGGAGCTGGAATCCAGTAGCCTCTGGAAGGAACCACTTTGGCCATATAGAATAAAATAATTTATAAAAAATATATATCATCTTGAATAATTCATTATATCCTGAAGCATTGCATAAGATACTGGAGATCTAGACTAGAGGTGGCTGTCTAAGATCTGGGATATTATACTCATATGCATCTGGAGAGGGGAAACATAAATTGGTCATTAGGGGAAATTTGGCATTTTTGTATGGAAGCTCTGCTGGACAGAAGAAGCACTCCTCTTTACACAAGTGCTGGTCCATTTCCTTTTCTGGACAAGGCAGATGCATAAGCACACTCCTTTAAGCATGGAACTTCTGCCACTGTAGATACGAATGAGGCAGCAGCAGCACCCCAGCCTGAAGATCAGGACCTTTGCTTCCAGTGCCACCAATCAAATCTTTTTCATATATCACATTTTCTTTAAAACATGAAACCCTTCTAGAGCAGTGCTCCTCAGCTATGGGCCCCGAGATATTGTTGCACTACCCATCATACCCAGCCAGCTTAACCAATGGTCAGCGATGATGATAAGAGTCCAGCAGGGCTTTAATTTTTCAGCCGCAGCTCACCAAAACTCACTTCTGGCACCTCCCAGGTGGAAGAATAAGGAAGGTGTTCCTGGTGAATTCTGGCACCTCTTTTTCTAGGGGGAAAAATAGCACTGGAAGCATTCTTCTAGAGCCAGTCTAATTTGAAGAAACCTCACCAACAGTAACGTGCTGAAACATTAAACAAATCAGTTCAATGAAATGCTTTTGTTTGAGGAATGTAATACATTGAAACTGTGATCTTCACATACAATATAACCATCCTGTATCCTATTTATGTATTTATTTTAGGCACAGAAGGGGCTGTATTTGAGCACTCTGTGGAGACTCCCCATATCAGAGCAGATCCATCCCAAGACCTCAAGTAGGTGTTTCAAAAGCATTGATTTCAGTTTTATTTGGCAAGTTATCCATAGACCAGCTATGCTCTAAAACGCTTTTAAAGTAAGTTATATTGTTCATTAATCTGACTATAGCATTTGTGTACTCCTCACCCATAAACAAAACTTTCAAGTATTTCACTTACAAATGAAGAATCAAAATTAATCTTAGACCTTTTCACAAAAGCATCTTCCATTTGACATGTATCTGTGCCTTGTCTGAAGCTGTGATGGGTCAGGATTCATTCATTGTTAAATGGGGGTTTGTAGGGCACTCCTGTCCCTCTGAAAACTGAGTTTTTGTTCTTATTATGAGCTTTCAGGATGCGCAAGCCACAAATGTCAGTGAAGAGTTGGCATGCTGTGGTTTGCCCTTGAAAACTATGTTTGCCTTTTGCTCATTTTCTCTCTCTCTTGAGCCATATTTGTCCTTCACTTTCCTATGAATCCATCCTTCCAAGGTTATTCAAAGGCTGCAATCCAAACAAAAAAACCCACTCACTCCTGATGTCAGTGAAACAATACTGCATATACCGGCCAGTCCCTCTTGTGGTTTTTGTCTTTTCCCCAAATATCAGAGATTTTTTTATAAAAAAGATCGAATCCTAAAACTTCCAGGGAGTCTGTAAGTCAAACTAAGATTTATTTATTTATTTTTAATGAAAATGACTTCCCTGTTGAAGCCTTAGATATGTTTAGTTGTGGGTGTGCTGCTGAGCCCTGATCAATATTTTTCTGAAAAGGCAAAGAGATTAAATGTAAGCCTAAAACAAACAGTTGTGTTTCAGTATAAGGTTCTTTCTTCTTCTGTTTTTTGGGATCATTTCCATCTCAGCACATGTCACAGAGGTTGTGGTAAGGTTGATGTCCCCTTCTCTTTCCAAAGCAGATTTGGAAGCAGACTCAAGAGATGGACTCAAGTACTTCAACAAGGGAGTGCAGTCGTCAATCTGGAACCATTGTAAAATGAGCATTTTAACTTGGGCAGAAATCAGATGCGATCCCTTGTTGAACACATTGCCCTAAAGCAGGCTTCCTCAACCTCTGCCCTCCAGATGTTTTTGGCCTACAACTCCCATGATCCCAAGCTAGCAGAACCAATGGTCAGGGATGATGGGAATTGTAGTCTCAAAACATCTGGAGGGCCGAGGTTGAGGAAGCCTACCCTAAAGGATAACTCTAGCTGTGATGGGGCAACATCTCCTTACTCTGATGGAGCACCACTTCCCGTTTCCTATCCAGACGTCAAGAGGTGTGTGTGAGGAAACCCTAGAAAAGATATAAGGAGAGAAGCACCTGAAACAACCAGTAGCAGACTGGTTGTGGTAACAGGAGGAAGGCAGATATTTTGCCACTCCTCTATACCATCAACCATGAAATCTTATTAGACCAACTTTGCTGGTTGGAGAAAAGGGCACAGTGTTATGGTGGTCCTACTCTACCTGAGGCTAAGTTTCAGAGGGTTGCACTGAGGGACTTTTGCTTGACTCCATGGCAGTTCAGCTGTGGGATTCCACAGGGGTCAGTCTTAGCCCTCTAGTCAACGTCTGTGTGAAGCCACTATGTGAGGTCATCTGGAAGTATGGAAGCAGCCATCACCAGCAAACTGATGGCGCCCAGATCTACTCCACTTTCTCAGAGGAGGACAGGCAGCAGAGGCGGCCTTGGGGGAGCTTGACCAGTTTGGTTGCACTCCCTGCAGGAGACACCTCAACTATGAAGTAGAATGGAAGGTCAGAGGCAGAGGGTGCAGAACTTTGGCATTGCGCAAGGTGCCGCTGAAATTTGAGACACCAAGGTCCATCACTGTAGGCAGAACCTCTGGCAGTGTCTGGTCATCATAAACTAAGGCTGTTTTTGAATATGTTTTTTTAAATAAAATAATATTTTTATTCTTTTATTATTATAAGTTGCATCCAGAATTCATGAATGGCAAAATGGGGTAGGCTGTTTTACCAAATAGGGGAGGTCTGAAATTCAGTTCAGGAGGAGCTTGAAAGAAAAAAATCTTTTTGGATGAATTTCAGTTGAGCCCTATTAATTTTGCATCCCTTTTTGCACCTCACCTTTGAGCCTCTCCATCATGAGGTTATATTGAAATGGTTTTTTAAACAAACAAATCTGTTTGTCTTATTTTACTTGCATAATGTTATATCTAGTACATTTAATAATATAAAAGTTAAAATTTTTGAGAGGTTTACAGTACAGTCCTGTATGTGTTCCATAGAGTTCACTGGTGTTTACTCCTAGATAAGTAGGTTCGGATTGCAACTTCCATGTGTAGAACTTTGTTTAAACAGGTATTTTTTTATTATCCACATAAATAACTTTATTCTTATTCTTTTTTTTAAAATGATATTTATTAGAGGTTTAATGATTACAGAAAAAAGAAGAAAGAAACAATAAAAGTTAAACAGATCAAAACAATACCTTACAATAAATCAAAAATAAAAACAAAAACAAAAAACAATACAACAAAACAAGAAAGAAAAAGACAAAAACATTTAAAAACACATCCAATATCTTTACCTTTCATTTACTTGTTTCTTCGACCTCCTCACACCTCCCTTTTTTGTGTTCTAGGTCAATTATCTATTTCAGCAAATCCTTTCCATCTTTCTCAATTTTTATTCTATAATTTATCTTAACACTATCTGACCTTAAATTTTCCACTTTGTCCCATTTACAATATATTTTTGCTTAATTCTTTATAACATTTCTGCTAAAGCCATATAACTTCATTCCAGTATCCTTCTAACATTCATTAATTTTGCAATATTTCTGTAAATATACTTTAAATTTTTTCCAATCTTCTTCCACCGACTCTTCTCCCTGGTCTCGGATTCTGCCAGTCATTTCCGCCAATTCCATATAGTCCATCAGCTTCATCTGCCATTCTTCCTGGGTGGGTAGATCTTGTGTCTTCCAATGCTTTGCGATAAGTATTCTTGCTGCTGTTGTGGCATACATAAGGAAAGTTCTATCCTTCTTTGGCACCAATTGGCCGACCAATTCTTATTCTTAAGCATTTTTCAGATTTAGGAAATTAATTCAGCTGCCTTGATAAATGATAGCAGTATAAATGACCAAATCTAGTCTGAAAAATAAAAATCATATTCTAAACATTTATGAACAAGGTTCTCATACTCTGAACATTCCCCCATAGTTTGGGATGTTTACATTTTGTTCCTTCTAAATCATTTTTAAATTCCCTTGCTAGTCAACCATTCAGCTCAGACAAGATAAAATCTACCCAAGTTAATCTTTTGCTAGCAAGATTTTGCTGCCTGTAGCCATTTTTGAGAGTTTATAAACCCTGTTACATGATCCCTGGCCCAAGAAAGCTTAGCTGAACCTGAGACTCATTAGAAGGAACAAGCAGGATAAAAGGATCATATTTTACAAACAGTAAAATGAATTACATCTGTATAACTGAATTACACCTGTATAATTTATTTGTCAGACTCCAGTTGCCACGTTTTGTCCGAAAGAGCCCAGCTAAACTAAGGAGAGTATAAACCCCAAAATATTTATTTTAAATATGACAGCAACACAGTTTGTCCAGGTAGTCATTAAGAAACAAACAGCTTCTATACACAATCAAAGACCACTGTGGTTATCTGCAGAAATCTATGCCCTCAATCAACTTCTTAATAAGGGGGGCAAATTGCTTTGTTGTTGTCCTGCACCTCTGGGGAGAACTCGAAAATCAAATTTAATAGCTTCCTTCCCTCTTTTATCATCAAGGCTACAGTAAGATTGACTATAAGCTAATCCTGAAAGCCAACACTGGGCATAATGAGATGGAAAATTGATCAAGCGACAAGGAGCTGACAAGGATAGTAGGATCCCCTTTTAATTCTGATCTGTATTGAAGACCCACAAATCCTGCACAATGGTTTTGTGTTTTCTACAAAGCTGCAACTGCATGGCATCAGCAGGAGCAGTTCTCGAAAAAGACAGAGGGAGTAAGAGAAAAGCACTAACATAGCAGGACATCCTTTCATTAAAAGCTTGAGCCACAAAGAGGCCAAACGTGATTTCCCCCCGCTGCCCTTAAACAGATACAGAACTTTAAAAGATTTGATTTGAAGCTATGAAGGCACATGTTAATGTGATCTACTTTCAGGGCAGGAGGAAGCCTCACAAAGCAGCCATCAACATAAATTATGTAGGGTAGATCTTGGTGCATTTGTGCTTTTGTATGTTAATGTGAATAAGGGAGCTTCTAAATGGCAACATACTCATCAACAGCAGCACTGAGAACAGTGCACCAAACAGGAAGTGTCTGTCGGGGCTGATGGTTTAGAGACAGGTAAGTGGTCAGGTGGTGGCCAGGTGGCCTAAGATCAGCTAAAACCATAGAGCAGGGGCAGGGATCCTTTTTCAGCCTGAGCACCATAGGCTTAGCAGTAGGTGAGGCCAGAGGCAAAAGTAAGTGGACCAACTAATTTTGATTTCACCGCATTGTGACCATGACATGCTGTAACCAGACAAAAACACTCAAGTGGGTTGCAACTCAGGGCCAATGGAGCATGGGGCTGTAAAGGAGGGTTGATCCTGGAAGAGGCATGAGGCCTGGAAGGCTGTATTCACATCCCTGAGGTTCCATAGAGGCAGGCCATAATTAGAAACTTTGCAGAGCTTTGGTGGCCCTTGGAGTCACCTTACTCCTCTGGAAATGATAACTGAAATCCCTGTCCTCAGGAAGCAAGTCAACCAAACTCTCATGGTTGCTAGAGAATAAGGCATCTGGGTCCTACAGCTAATATCCCCATTAGAGAGGCATGTTGTTTGTTGTTTAGTCGTTTAGTCGTGTCCAACTCTTCGTGACCCCCATGGACCAGAGCACGGCAGGGCCTCCCGTCTTCCACTGCCTCCCACAGTTTGGTCAAACTCATGCTGGTAGCTTCGAGAACACTGTCCAACCATCTCATCCTCTGTCATCCCCTTCTCCTTGTGCCCTCCATCTTTCCCAACATCA